TATGTGACATCTGCAGGACTGTCTTGGAGCCAAAAGGTCTAAATGTGACAATGACAAAGTCAATGAAATATAGACAGTTTGAATTTATGTAACAAAATATTGAATTTATGTAACAAAATATTGATTATGCAACTGATTCTTTAACTCCAACTTGGGGCCTCTCAAAATTGAAAAATAACTTCAACGGATCACAATGATCCATAACCATGGAATAAATGGGATAAAAGATTCTTTTAAATAACATATCGATGTTTTATGCTCTGAGTACGGTTAACTTTGACAAGATTAAGACTCCATAAGGAGCAATACTGGGCCAAGCTTGAAATAATGCGACAGAATATTTTTACGCAAAGCTCACAAACATGACTGTATACTTTTGTTGATTAGGTTTTAATCTTTAATTTTCTAATTAAACTGCAAGGCTTTCAAAATTTCCATTTGGTACCGCTCCCAAAAATAGATTAGAAGCTAAAAATTCTTTATCTTGCATTTAGCTAGGTTTCCATCATATTTTTTTACATTAAGTTGGAAATCAAGCTATACAGTAGCAATTAAACATGATTGTCTTCAGTATTGTGCCTTGTGAGGCAGCAACCCTTGATGAAGAGACATCTAGCTGCAGAAATCTTTAAGAAAAGATTGGGGCACATTGCAGAAGTTTTCCTTTGAGAGAACGTACGGTTTTTGAATAAGGGAAAACATATCACTGTTATCGAGGGGCAAATCAATTTGCAGATAGCTAAACAAGATCAGAGAATATAATTCAGTTATAAAACGAGCTCACTCATCCTTGTATAACATCATGTGTGCTTGAAGAAATTATATCAACTTTCAAGTGCCAATTTATACAGAGCAGCACCAAAAGTTATTAGGTGCTATGTAGAACATGAATAAGCACACAGTCTCGGAAAAGATTTGTGTGGCTGGTGCATACAGACTTAAGCAAGGAAATGGCGGCTTTGAAGTTACCACACGATAATTAAACGAGTATAACAAGCTCGACATTATTGGCTTCTTTACTATCGTTAACACCAATGAACGGTTGGTTTTCCTAGACATATTGAGTTGCAATACTACATTTTTGACTATGAGATAATCAGAATAAAGAGGTGCCTAACAAAACAGTTAGGCGGTAAGAATTCGGCGAGATTGCTTATATTCTGAATCATGTTGGCAGTCAGAGAAATATTGCTGAAAAGTTCCATCGAAGAATCTCGCAATAATCTTTTCAATAAAGCATCTTTTGATTTAAGATTGTTTCATTGAGATATTGACAGGCACAGGAACAAAAGACAGGCAAGACATTGCTAGCACTGTTCTCCAATCATACACAGTACAAAGCATTCACCTGTTCTACAATCACTGCCAAAATTACTTGGAACATCCAACACTTTGCGCTGTGCTTTTCTATTTTTCATTTGTTTTCCCGAATACAACTACTTCCGCCCCCCCTTTTCCTCCAAAACAATGTTGAAAGTATAGAAAAATATCATACAAGGCACTAGAAAATGCGTACTCCACAACCCCTTCCTTTTTTCTTTAGTAAATCAACATTGTTCTTAGGGGGAGAGGGGGGTGGCTGAATTTGCCTTTGAAAACTGACGTTACTGCTCCAAGACTTTTTGCAGTGATTGACTACATAGCACCAACTAAGATTAAAATGTTTTGGCATTGAATGAAAATCTTGGAATCTGAAGAAGATATCTCTAACAAAATTAAGAATTGAAAGGCTTATACTTAACTGTTCAATATTCAACTTAGGTAGGAGAGGGGGCCGAATCCCCGAATCCAACTAACAACAAGATAAAAAAGGGGTATCTATCGCTTTTTCACCTGAACTGGTGAACCAGGCCGAGGGGCAAATCACTCCAAGAATTTCTGTTACACCTTTTGTGAAAATCCTATTGTTTTATCTGAAAATCCCCAGAAATCCTTTTGTTTTAGGGAAAATCTCGTACGCTATTGCAAGCGCGAATTGCCCCTCGAACCAGGCAGCTCCTAGATATTGTTGCTCTTTCTTGTTTATTTTGAAGCAATCCATTTTGGATAAGTTAATTCGTTTAACTGAAATTATCAAATTCTGTATTCGGATCAGAGGTGGCGCCAGAAATCTTCCGACAGAGGGGTTTGAGCTTCTGACAAGGGGGCTAAAATGACCAAAATATGCACTTTTTGTACGTTACTTTGTCAAATTTGCTCCGACAATAACCCAAAATTTCCTCCAATAGGGGGGCTAGATGCTTCCGACGGAGGGGCTATAACCCCCCTAGCCCTCCCCTGGCGCCACCACTGATTCGGATCATTTAGTGACGATGATGATGATCAGCTTTCTCGACAATGATGAAGTTATGGAAAGAAAAGTTAATGATAGGCTGGACTTGTCTCTTTATTTGCACTTCGTTCTAAATTTAAAAATTCTGCGCTTCTTAAAAATTAATCTTAAAATATCGTCATTACAGTGATATAAAGCATTTCTCGTAGTGGGTCAGTTGAAAAAAGCATGTTGAATCTCTTTCGTGATGCACAGAATAGAAGGAATTTTGTCACGTGCGTAATGGAAGTAATATCAACCTTAAATAAAAATTACTGTTATTTTACTACAAAAAATATTCTTCTGATTATTCTTCTGATCTAACTGTAACATCTTTGTATTAACAATACAACCCTTGCAAGCAAAATATAGTTTTTTATGCATTTCAAAGGCAAGAGAACGAAGAAAATGGTGAAGTCAGAATTACTGACGTTTCAATATTCAAAATAAAAAATGGTTTGTGGCCTCTATTCGCCAGTAATTGCCTGCATGAGTAAGGTTCTGTTGCACTGTCATATAGGTTTTCGTTTATTTTGTTTTATCTTACTTCAGTTGTCCTAATTACAATTTGTCGCCTTTTGGCAAAAATGAAACAGCGCTCGTAGAGGTTCGCTATCACCTGCCCTCTTCCTGTACAATGACCATTACTTTTATGAGCATTCTGTCTATAAAGAGTCAGTCAAGGAGAGTTTCTCACATCTAGATCTTCGGAAATATGGTATGACAAACTGTCTTCCTTGGTATTTTAAAATACTCTTCTTCAAATCACGAATACCAGCATTGAAGTGCAATGGTAGCTAAATTCTAGGGGTGGGTTTTCATTCGACGAAATGGGGCCTGTACTGAGCTAGCAAGGGACGAGCTTTAAATATTTGGGAACCACGACCCACACTTTTGAGAAAGGTCCCATTGGGAACTAGTTCAAAGAAGTTATCACATGAGCATTGATTCTTATGGGTAATTTGCCAGGCAAAATTCAACCAGTCTCGAGAAAGTGAAAATAAAATTCGAAATTTGCTATTGAGCAAAGAAATTATGCCGAATTTTGGCTTGTTAGATAAAAGAAGAAACATAACTACACATTAAATAGCCCTTTTTGCAGTTAGTAAGTTGGAAGATAATATTTTTTGACTTTTCGATTGCTCATTTGACACGGGATAACTGTTCTTTGGAGACAGCAACCACTTCAAAATGTCTCACATACCCTTTAGAAGGCATCACTCCAAAAGACACATGTAATTCTGTTTTCAAGAATATGAAGACCTGTGAATGCCGTTTTAATGCATTCAATAGCATTATATAAACATTGCCAACTCCATCCTACTTGAAATAATATTTGCTCTTTTTGAAACGAGTATTTTCAATAACTCAGAGATACCTCCATCCTTTTTGCAAAATCTTTTTATTGATCATATATCCCTTGCGACAATACCTTTCGTTTTTTGACAAAATGCGTCATTCATAACGGGAAGGCCGGATGAAATACCTGAAAACTTGTTTTCAATGCCTTTTGATCGCCCCACGCCGCTCCGCCTGGGTCAAAGGGGTCAGTTGCAAAAGAGAGGCTTTCAAGTTCTGTTTACCACTGCACAAGAAATAAACTTTTAATGGAGGCGAATCAACATGAGTCTATGGTGATTGTTAAATGGCTGAAATGCACATTTGTCTCAATTTTTACTTGGAATGAATAAGGGTTTGAATAGCAATTTATAGCTAAACATGTTCCCTATCGATTTTTCGCGAGGAAAACTTACTTCTAACACGAACTAAAGACAATGCGTAAAAATTACAGATTTGATAATTAGCTACAGCTGGAGAATGGGAGAATATAGGTACAATTCCATTCGAGCACTACATTTTTCTCTCAAACATTGAATACCTTCTTTCAAAGAACTAGGATTTCCCGATGCGTTCGCAAAAACTCAACTGAAAATGGTTTTGGCAGGAAAAGGACACCAAGGAGCGATATCCCCTTTAAGTCATTTGCTTCTCTTGCAATATATCACACTGTACTCATGTCCACTCCAACGGCAAATATTGGTCAAATCTTTAGAAATGTCTAAATTTTGAAAACGCAGAAACTCGCAACCGAACAGTCCAAACGCCATGAAGTTTGCAGTATAGACTAATCACAACATGAACATTTCAAATCTGCGATCCGTTTTTGAAAAAATCATTAGTTATCGAGATACATATCTATGACGTCAACTGAGAATAGGCCAAAACCAGGACTCCTGTTCGAGTCAAGTGACCTTAAAAAATGCCTTCTGAAAGGTTTTAATCAGTTTTTGGCAACCATCTTGATTTGATGACAATTGTGTCCTGATGACCCTAAACAGATTCTTTTGGTCAAAAGAGACTGCAGTGACAATTTGCGTTTCGAGTGCATCGCCCATGAAAATGCTAGTCTGCGCGAGCATCTTGAAAAACTATTAGTTAAACAATTCTTTTTTCATTTAGCATCATAACTCCGGCTATTTGGTAATTGAAACTTTTGCTCTATACCATATGACATTTTGACCTTTTATAGACGCTGGGAATGGTTAAGTATCTTATCCTTTTCAAATGCTTAATTTATTTCGATTTATCACGATTTTATCAAAACACAGAGCTGACTTGAGCCAATTACGCGTCAGGATTTCGCCACAATTCGCTTTGTTAACAAAAACCGCAAAAGAAGCGCAAAGAAATATGGTGCGTGTATTTGTTCGACAGCAGACAAACGAGAGCAGACATCGCGGCGGACGCTGCAGAGAGCATCTCCAGAAGTTTGAACCTTGGATCCAGAGTGAATGACTGTTACACTAAGCAGATGAGGTTGGCGCACTTACAGTTGTGATTTACAGTCATTTCAAACTGGTGACATTTTGTGGTTCCTTTAAATATATAGCTCTTCACGGGGAGCTGATCGTTTTCAGTGGAACACTGGCTTCAAATCAGTTCATTTGTTGCTGCATTTAAAGCTGAGACTCCAGATCAAGGAACATACCAGGAATATATGAAAAAGACATTCTGAGATTTATCAGGCTACGCGCTCTCGTTAGTCAAGACCTACAGGCTGCGAGCAAAAGGCAAATCGAACGACTCACAGAGCTCACTGAACAGACATTTGAAGGTAAGATTGCCCTTGAGTTTAAGGAAGCAACAGGACAAGAGCTACAAGGATTGCAGCGTTTTGTTGGTTTTTCGTCGTTCAATACTCTTTCAATATCGCTGCTCATATCCTGTTTATGAAGTCAGCTATATTTCATTCTCAGCAGATTTGGAGAGCTCTTAAGGGAGCATTCGGGCGATTCTTCTATCACGATATAAAAGTTGTCGTAACACAAACCTCACCTCTGAACCATCCTACATCCTGGAATAGAAGAGCAATCATTTCTCTTTTGGATATCAAGGTAAGTGTTTTTCTACTCAATGATTATTTTTCAGTAAATAATCTCGAGAACATTTCTGGTCATTGAAAACAGTTAGGAATGATTTAATGGTGTGAATTAGAATAAGTCAAATTCCGCATTGACCAGCGTTGGGCAATCAACTGGCCAAGTTTGCTTAGATATTTGCTCTTCGCATATGTTGGCTTACAAGAGGATATATTTAAACAAAGAACTTTTCTTATAATCAACCATAAGTTGACATTTGTTTTATAGAGGTTTTTTAAGTAATAAGGTGCTTCCAAATGGACATTGCAACCAGTCGTGGCTCAAGTGATTAGTAGCTACGGGCTTTCAAACAAACATATAGTTTTTTGAACCAATGATATGTGTTAAGTTATATTATTTTCGTAATTCGTCCGAAGATATGGCTGTACACGGAGAATAACTATGCATAACATTTCGAAAGAAATCCAGTTCAGCATTCCAATGCAAACGATGCCTTTCTTTTTGCATATCCCATCTCAACAGGAACCGTGATAATATTATTGTCGATGCTTACTTCAAAATAAAGCATAGTAAAACTGCGAATAGGAAATACTAGCTAAGGTGAAGTAACGATTTTATAATTGTAAGTCGAATCCAAAGGATTAATTAGATCGATTTACTGTTTTCAGAAAATCCTATCGATTATAAATTTCTCTCTCTCCAAGTAATTTCCGTTAGAAAATTTTAGTTTTAACAGCAGCACAAGCGTTTAGGCAGAAACTGCTCACTACGTCGACAATTTTTGGTTTCTCGCGGGACATTTCATTAAATGATTCGATCGCGCTAACTATTTTAACGACAGGCAACTGATTCCAATGAAATACTTTTTGGCAACCACGTCAAAGTGTTTGGAATCGCACTCGTTTTTCATTATATTCAATATTTAAATGAGCAACTCTCATGGGTGAACCCCAGGGGCCTTGGTCTGCCCATACCCTAATTGATGGTATGCCGGTGTGAGTACGAAATTTTGTGGAAAACACTCATTTATCGTTCATCGTTCATCGAGGGGTTTGTGGTTGCATTGCATTTCATCTCTTTGTTGTGATGAATTCAATTGCGATTAGGCCCTTATCTTCCAATTCTCTCCTTTTCATTTTATGGAATCTTTGGTGGCTTTACAATTCCCGCAGTCTAGCAATGAGAAAAGAGACAAAGCACTCTCTAAAACAGGTCTAAATTCACTGGCCTTTGAAGAAACTGGAGTTGGGGCAAAATCATTCTCTACTGCTGCTCTCTTCTCGTAGATCACTATGACAACTAGGTATTCCCGTGGTTCACGAGCGCAAATGTTGATTTTTCATTTCTGATACACCATCCGTCTGAAATGTGGTTACCAAATCCTTGAGGACTGGATAAGTCCATTCTATTCACTCTTCTGAAATTATTTTCAGGTTTCATTGCATATTTCTGTATCATCCTAGCCCACAAAGTACACCGTAAATTTATCTCGTATATGTGAGTGCAAGAGTAACTCAAAGCAATTCTAACTTACTAGCTAGGCCCTGCAATAGGATTTGTTAGGGTTCAAATTGTAGAGTTGTAACTAAAATCTGTGAAAATATAATTTATGAATCGCTGATCTGCGAATATAGCATATTATTTAGCTAAAACTTTGAAATTGATATGAGATAAGTTAAATGAAATGGTTTTCGAAACAAATTCACTAGTAAAAGACAATCCAACGTAGTTTAAGTCACCTCAAAGAGACGATCTTTCCGTAATCGTCAATTGGGAAGTTCCACGCCAAAATTTCACAAAATTGTAGAGCCCCACAATTTCATTTTTGGTACTGCTATGGACAAGCTGTAGTCAATGGAAGTCAATTTTTGCAACGAACTTCTATTAAGATTTACTGAGACTTCTCATATTTTATGTCTCAACTTTTAAGGAAAGTAAAACATGAAGTAATAAGCAACATTTTGAAATAGTTACTTTTTTGCTACTGGTTTCAGCTCTAATCATCAATAAATATTTGTCAAAAAAATGTGGCAGCATCCTGCAGTTAAACAAACACTCATTACTGAAACCATGATTGAAGTATAGGTTATCCCCAGCTGAACGCAGCTGGTTATTATTGAGAAGATAAAATACTCAGATTGAAAATTGCAAGTCTTTCCTCAATTTGCATAATGATTGAAAACACACCCAAGAAATCCATCTCTTTGTGTCAACCCTTTTTTACTTTTTAATGTTGCGCAAACAGGTTTACAATCAAACTACGAATTTTTGGTTGTCAATCGTTTTGGTTTTTCTTCCAGCAACTTTTCAAATGCTTGTCAGTAGCTATGTCGGCAATACATGCAACTAAATTGCAAAAGAAATAAATATAAACAGTTATGTTATCATAAAATAAATTGTTATAGATTGATATATTCTATCAACCCATGCAACTTAATAATGCATTAGATTTACAGGTTTTTATTCAGATGCCAAAATGCCAATTTGCTCCATATCTAAATACCTTTCCCACATCAATCAAGGACCAGGGATCTTTTCTTTGCTCAAAGATATGCCGCCTGTCTTTTTGCGAGCAATAAGTACCGCCATGCTTAGCAAACAGGCCAAGCGAAATAAAATTGATCATCATTGATGATAAACAGGGCTTAATTACATACGATTTTTGATTTATCTAGAAGCTTTGTCACAAAGATATCCTTCTAGATGTTCTATTAGCCGTTCAGTTATATAGTCGACTTAATCGAAATATAACTAGCGGCTTTACGCATTAAGTTGCAATTTTTATCGTATCTCTCAACATTGTGCAATAAACATCTGAACAACAAAGCAAAAGTTTCGAAAATCAGACCACGCCTTTTTTTCCAAATTGATGTGCCACATCTCCAATTATATCTTTCTCCGAATTGTTACTTTTTTCGTGGACTTTAAACAGTATTTTGCCATTTTAGTGTTTTCGGTTTTCAACTTTAGAAATAATCAGATTAAGGGTTGTATTCAAAAAGTGGCTCTGCAAGAAATGCAGCAAACAAATACAGCGATCTTCTTTTTCCAAAATAAAACGTGAGACATAATATGGGACACTTGAAATCCAGATAAAAAAAACAAACCTAACTATTTCGAAACTCGTGAAATGAAAACAAATGAGGTTTATAACATTACATACAACTAATCCATGGTTGGTATGATCATAAGAATGCTAAGGAAGTGTGAAATGAATCTATTTGCAGGATCGAACCCATTTTTGCTAAAAATACTCTCAACAAAATTACAACAAACACCTCGAATTTTTTCTCAATTCTGATTGATAGTTTTATGACACTGTTAATTAGAGAAACTGTTACATAACAATTCTGAAAACGTGCTCATCGATCTCATTTATGCAGACATCAAATATTTGATTCTGAATTTAGCCCTTCTATACTAGATCCATTCACGCACAAATTACGTCACTTTAGTTGTTCTTTAGTTTTAAATCTATGTTTGCCTTGCAGATAATATTGGGTCAGCTGCTTGAGGTGCACGCGTGACACGACAATCTAATGAACGATCGCAAAGCAAGCAGAGCAAAATGATCGACTATCTCATATTCGCAGCAGTTTTCTTGGCTCTTATTGCAGCATTTATCGGATTTGCATTGAAGCGGTCATCAAATCATGAAAAGTTCTCAAGACTTCCACCATCTCCACCACGATACCCTCTTCTGGGGAATTTGCTACAGTTGAAAAAAAGCCCGCACTTAGACATCACTGAATTATCTAAAGAGTACGGTGGTATCTTCACATTCTGGTTTGGCAGAGCGAAGCCTGTTGTAATATTAAGCGATCAAAAGATAGTAAGAGAGGCATTCGTGCAGGGAGCTACAGCACTGTCAGGAAGACCTCAAAGATACACTGGCAGTGTCTACACGAAAAATTTCAAGGGCGTCGTTCTCAGAGATGATAATAAAGAATGGGCCTTCCAAAGGCGTCTTGGACATCAAGCTTTAAAAACATTAGGTGAAGAAAAATTCTTCACTGAGAGTGCAATTCATGATGAATGCAAGGCCTTGGTCGACCGCATCAACAGGCACATCGTTTTCAGCAACCTGATGGATATTTGCAAATACATGGAGTTGTCTTCGCTTAATGTTCTCTGTGCACTTCTTTTCGGATCCCGTTACTCCGAGGAAGACCCAGAGTTTCATCGAATTTCATTGGCGAATTCCTGGTTCATCGAAGGCATCAAAGCAGCCAATATAGTTGACGGCTTTCCGATATTACGGTACTTACCTTACAGGCCGCTGAAGTTGCTGCGCGATTTTGTCAAGGTCCGCGATGAAATTTTAGAGAGGAAACTAAAGGAACACGAAGAATCATTTGTTCCTGGTGCAATACGAGACTTTACGGACGCCCTAATTGAAACGCAGAGGCAAGAACAAAACAAGATGAACCATACGCGTGAAGACAGTCTTGCTTTGATGGCTGATCTTTTCCTCACTGGTACCGAAACAACATCAACAGCTCTAAAATGGGCCATTTTGTACCTTTCGGTATGGCCCGAAACCCAAGAGAAAGCATACGAAGCTTTGCAGCATTTCCAAGTAGAAAAGCTAAAGTTTAGTGATAGGAAGAATCTGCCATACATCGAGGCATTGATGGCAGAAGTTCTGAGAATGGGCTCAATCTCGCCACTCTCGGTTCCACACAAAGCAACTTGTGACACGGAGTTGTGCGGTTACAAACTGCCAAAGGGAATCATCCTGATGATGAACCTTTATGCCATGCACCATGACCCAAATCAATGGGATGAGCCGGAGCAATTCAAACCAGAAAGATTTATCCATCCGGAAGGACATTTCTTCATTCCGAATTCCAGCTACCTTCCCTTCTCGGTCGGTAAAAGAGTTTGCCTTGGAGAGACACTTGCAAAGCGGGAGCTGTTTCTGTTCTTATCTTATCTTATCAACAATTTCAGATTTGATAAATGTGAAAATGAAGAGGTCGACATGGAGGGCAAATTTGGTGCTACGCTCACACCTAAACCGTTCCGAGTAAAAGTGACAAGAAGGACACTAGAACAGATAACTATAAAGTCATGATCTTTCTTTGCAACCAGATTTGACAAGTTTTAAAAAATTTCTTGATATTTAATTCATTGTAACATCCACACATTTGAAATCGCAAAGTTTTTCTTTGATTAAACAAGGCCAATTGTTTAATTAGCTAAATTGATTTCAAATTTAGTCACATCTATTAACAGGCACCAATTTAATTTTTTTCGTTACTATGTTGTGAATATTAATCTCTGCTGGATGGAAATTTCAAAACATTAAAATATTCTTTAACATATTCTTATTCGATTTAAAATTTTCTTATGATTTGCTATGGTACATTTCCTTTTCCTGTGCAACGAATAGCAAAAAAAGTTATCTTGATCGCTCTGTCCAGTCCACCATTATAGAAAGGATGGAAGACAACTACGTTGCAATTACTTATAACGCTGTTTCAGCAAAGCCAAACTAGCACATTGTAAGCTAGCATCTCTCTTTGGGCAAATAAGAATTTATATACTTCCCATATTAGGCATTTCTATTCCACGTTTTTAAGGAATTTAGCTTTTGATCTTCATACAATAAACCTTGAACAATTTTAGACTTACTGAATTGGTAGTAAAGAAAAAATGCAGTGAAATCTTATCAAACATGTTAATTTTGAATTGAATATTTGGAGGAGTTTAAAAGGCCCTGACTTATGGCTATACTCAAGACTGGATTGGAAGCACGCTATTTCCAAAAATTAACTTTAACTTCGTCGGCTAAGTGCAAATTAACTATCACTTTAATTTATGTATTGCATGGAAACAATAAACTGGTATCTATAACAAGTAAAAATTCGATAACCGTTCTCTTTCTATCACCTTTTCTTTGTTTCTTTGTCTTGATCATACATTGTCAAATTTTAACTATCACTTAGCTTAAAGGTATCGAACGTGTATGGAAAACAGGTTTCCTTTTAATGTCGCATCCAAAACTATATGATGCCATCTTGCAATTGGCGGGTTAAAATTTTCATACAAGTTCTTACTGATTGTTACCTTTTGCAAGGTGGAAATACAAATTATTTATAATAAACTGTTCATAATGAATTTTTAACTATAAATAGGCCCTCAAATGGGTATGATAGCATTTTTGGTCCTTTTCTCTTTTGAAACCGTATTAATTGTAACTTTTCTATTTCACTATGTTTTTTTGCCCCTTCCGATCCCCCCTTCCTGATACATACAAGTTTCTCAGTACTTGAATTTTCTTGAGTTGACAAAGTGTAAAAGCTTGAGGTAGAATTCATTCTTTACCTTCTGAGTATACTCATTCTTCCATATCGCACAGACTAAGGCGACAAACACGTCCTTGGTAAAATTTTCATTACTGAAATTTTTATTATTTGATTCTTTCAAAATTGTTTGTGCCTTGCTGATTATGAAACAGGAGCCCACCAAAGAATCAATAACGTTTACTCTGATTGAGATGAAAATACAAGACTTTTCTAAAGTTTCCTTTTTTACAAAAAGGAAGTCATGTAGCTCTTGCATATGATTAACTGTCAAATTTGCGAGTGATTCTTTTGCATTAAGATGTTTAATTGCTAAACAATTTTCCTTCAGAGTTACGCAATAGAAAAAATTCACTCAACTGGTCTTTCCAGACACATTGCCTTCTAAACATGCTTCAATACCCGAAGTCTCGCTAAAAAGGACGTATGAGAAATATGAAGTATTTTCGATTCAGGCTGATAGAAATGTGCATCCAATTTAACTACGAATTTGATTACTTTACAGTTACGCTTTATGGAGACATCTCATAGCTATGACGTCACAGTAAAATACCATGCTTATCAAAAATTTGTTTAAGAGATAATCAGAGAGGACAAATGAGCCGCCTGTAGAAAAGTTAACAGGAATGTTATGAAACAGGAACCAGACCGTACAAGAATTTACAAGCTTTCTATTTTTCTAGGTTTACTTATTTACCAGGTTTATTTTGGAGAGTAGAAACGCTTGTACAATAAATACCTATATAAAAGAAACTGTGATTTTCCGTAACAAGGAGAAATTGTTCCTTTACTTTTGCGTATTGCCTTTTATATCGAAGTTGTTTAATCGGGAAAAAGTCAGCCTGAATATTTTTAATCCAAAGTTTCTTCTTTGCGGGTTTTCACTCAATAAGGAGAACTTTTTGACTGGAGAAAGATTGATAGCGAACGTCAGTGATCAAAGTGAACAACTGAATGCTCCCATTACCCTCGTTAACAGGCATTTTGTCGTTGAACTGGTTAACTTCTGAAACATGAAATGTTATTTTTATCTTCTATCAACGAATATTGTCACTTATTTTTCAACACAGCAGTAATAAGGTATAAACTGGAGTGTTAAGCTGTTTGGTATATAGGTTGGTTTTGTTTGTTCCATTATTCCAGTATGGAAGTAAGTGAAGTAAGTATCGTCAATTTTCTTGACAATGTCATAAGCTCGTTTGAAACTATTCGAAACTTAATAAATGTAGGAAAGGCACAAAGCATCTTATGCAAAAAACACTCAAGGCCCAAGAACTTAGCCTTGTGGATCGCTAATCAAGAAAAGTGGGATTTAGATATATTTCTAATATTCTTGCTACCTTTTTTGCCCTGTCAAGTACCTTTAGAAATGCTATGCTAAGTTCTTATGAAGGAAGGCTGCGAAGACTGTAAATGAATGCAACTTTAGCAAAAGGCCAAATCTTGCTTCATTTCATGATAAACTGCAGCTCTATTTCATTCTACTATAACACGATAGTTATCTTCTTTTTTATGATATCATGTGGTTTTTCTTCGTATAAGGGTTAACGTTAATCCGGTACAGTTCACCTGCATTTTGAATATCTCTTGGAATATATAGAATCGGATTTCTATGTGACAAAATATATGTCATGATATTAGTGGGTCAGAAAGAAGTTGCTTAAACCGTTGATATATGCCGCTAAATCTCAAACTATGGTTACAAGCTATTTTAAATTATTTTAAGCTTTTGTGAAAGCAGTTGAGCTTCTTTTAGCTTTAGCAAATGGACAAGGGTGGTCTACCATAATAGAAACAAGCCCCGCTAAAAAACTCTATACAAACGTTTGTAAGCAGTTGGGGTGGATGGATTAAGTATCCTTATGCAAATAAAAAGGCAAACTGTAAAGAAAATCGTTCAAACATTGGTCCTTTCAAAGAAGGGCGATAAATTTTTCGAAAATACTCAAGAAAGATGAGAAAGATGGTGATCCATTTGATATGAGAATTTTTTCTTTGTATAGAAAAGCGCAAGGCTTGTATTCTTTATCAAACACAGCAAAAATTTCTTTACGTCTGGTCAATGGACTTCTCCTTTTTCTACCAAGTCACCTCAAATAGAAATAAAAAATACACTCTGAAACTCCCCTTAAATGAGACTGATTCTTTTAAAACAAAAGAGGTGAAAATATGGAGATTCTAATGAAGTCTACATGGTTCAATTATGTCGGTAAAATTATTAATAGAGATTCTTCAAAATTGACGATTCTCAGTTAGGAACTGTGGGTAACTGTCATGATTTTATCGATGTAAATGCGAATAGCTGGTAATTGAAGGGCTGGAAGGAGCTGGTCACAACACAACTTCTTGGAAACTGGATGTGCAACGGTGTTGTTGTTGTTGTTTTGCTGTTTTCAATATATCGTGATTCTCTACGTATACACAACGTCATACCGTAAATCCTCGAATTAGCCCCTGGGACTTGTTTATTTTTTTATACTTTTTGATGGGAGGGGGGGATACTCGAAGAGGGCTTATACAAGGGGAGGCTTATGAAATCATAGTAGACATTAAGAAGACATTTTTAAAAGACCTCTTATTTTTTAGCATTAATTTCTTTATGAACATTTAATTAATTATTACCAAAAGTATGAATATTTGTGGTAATTCAACAAAAAACCAAAAGCAACCTCCAATGGCAACAATCAACAAATCGAGGGGCCCCAATTCGAGGATTTACGGTAGCAGTGGGGGCTTATTCGAGGGGGGGGGGGCTTATTGATAATTTGTAGTTCCAGGGTGAGGCTTATTCGAGGTGGGCTTTTCGAGGGGAGGGGGGGGATGGTGATTCAAGGATTTATGATATGCAACATTTGCAAAGTTGATCAGCCTTAATCGAATGAAAGTAAAATGTTTGCAAACTTATTGCTGGATGAAACTGACATTAGGTTATAGTATAGAAGAAAACCATCCCCTAAAACAAGAGTATTATAAAATGCAAAAGAGTTTAGCTGCCAGAAGTGAAGTAAGAGTAGGGTAAGCTGGGAGATGGAATAACTATTAATTAAAGTAGCGGATAGAAAAACTATTTGATGTGATTAAAACGTCAGCTTTGAAACGATTCATTGCAATTTAATAACCTTCAATAATTCTGATTAATTTCAGCGCTTTGAGATGCCGATAGTATAATTATGTAACTAGCTTAGGAAGTACCATGAATGTATATTGTTTGACTAATCTTTAGACACACAATCAAACTGAAAACTAACACAAGACGAATGAAAGCCATTTACTTTAGTCCTTTATTGTCCAATGACACTTCCATTTCTACTGGCGTTTACTCACCTTGCAAATACTAATTACAACAAGTACTGGAATTCATGAATCAAGGAAATTCGATAAATTAATATTAATGGGATATTAACTTCTTACTGACTTTTAATTGCTGTATTTTCCTGATTTCAAACAAACTGTAAACTTGAACAGCTAAAAAGTGATGGTTTTTATTGTCATTGTTTAAAGATGGATGGGGTCTGTTTCCGGAAATGAATGGGAAGGAAGATGATACTTTAGAAAGAGTTTTATATTTGTACGCTGCCAGCATGCATCTAGCAGTGACTCTAGTCATCTATCGTGAACAAAACTATTCTAGAAGTTCCAGAATAGCACCACAATGAAACTTACGATATAAGCCCATTGCTTCCAGCTTTCAATACATTAATCTGCATTTAAATTTTAGCACTATTCATACCTTCATTCATAAAACTTACAAGTATTTTAAACTGATTCCCTTAAATTTCTTTGATTTTGGATTTAGTGTCGAGTTTGTGCTCAAGCCCAATCTCAAGGCAATCGTTATGGGGGAGGGGGCATGAGGGGTGTGACAAAAATGTTCAGAAAAGCAGGAAAATTTTTCCTCTTTAGGGGTTTGCTATCTTTGTTGCCTAGTTTTTGCAAATTTTCGAACCTATCGGCAATTAGTGGATGGGTTACCCCTTTTGTCAGCCATTGAGGCCTGGATTCCCTGTGAACGCTTGTGAGGGCTTGCAGGTTTGGTACTTCAATAGTATAGGGCGTTGAAAGCAGTAGACCAATAAAATATAATATCAACTTTATGTCACTGGCGTCTATAGCAAAGCTAGTGCTTTCATACAATGCCGTCATTGCAGAAGGGTACACGTTTCCTAGGGGAAACTTTAATTCCCAGAGAGCAGAAGCATGTCCAATTATTGCACTCTTGAAATGTGGTTTTCAACTCATTCTTATTTCATTTCATTGTCAATTATTCAAGATGCTTACGGTATCCAAATTCAAATTTGTGTTAAAGTGAAGTCTGTGTTGGTCTGTGCAATAAATCTTTACACTTGTCGGTCTGGCACGTCGCCTGCACTATGTTTTACGGCTCGGTATTTTCTGTGCTTGAGTCTGTAACAGCTAGAAATAAGACATCATCTTGGCGAGGGATTATAACATCATTTTTGTTAGGACCTCTGTTAGTCGTTACATTTACTTAAAAGCTTTGTGAAATATAAATGATTTATTGAAAGGAATAACTTTTTTTCGTTTACAAGTTTTGAAAGAATGTGGTGAAAATTTAAAATCAACATATTTGATGGTTTAAGACGATGAATTCCTACAATATTTACAGATTTTGTTCGGAGTGCACATCAATGCAAATAAAAAGAAACTGTTGTATTTATTGGCAGGGTACAATCCAAGTACTTAGGTCTGAAGATCTTCGAACACTCAGTTTTTTTGGGTTATCTCTGAAAAAGTTAGGGTGGCCTTCAGCCCCCAGCCCCCTAGCTCTCCAGCCCCCCAAGCCCCCCAGTGGCGCCGTGCCTGGACTTGTGGGCACTTAACAGGCAGTTATGAAAGCAGTTAAGGGTGTAAAAATTTTGTAATCAAAATCTTCCTGGGTGCAGTTACATAATTTTTGTTGCATGAATGAGCGAATTCAAAATTTGCACGAGACATGTCATTTAATCTTGTGGCCTCCATATTTGATGGTGACTTTGAGTCACTTTGAGCACATGCCTAAGGTTATTAAAATACCACCTTTTCTAAAACTGGCATAAATCTAATTAGGAAAAATGAAATTTTGAATATAGAACAAAGG